ACAAGATTTGAAAACTGATTGGATATGTGCGGTTAAAGTGAGTAATCAAAGATAAAACTGAGGCTATAACTCTGAGTAGCAGGGAGGATGGTGACACCCTTCTGGAAATAGGAAATTTGGGGAGAGGAGAGGGACTTGTAGAGGACTTTTGTCTTGGCAAGGAGAAGGCTCATCTCTTAACAAGACAGTGGTAGAAGTTGGTGGGACAAATCCAACGCTGGGATTTGGCAAGCTGTAAATTAGCAACTGGATAAGGGAGTGAGGGATTTATATAGAGGATAAGCAGAACTGAACTGACTCACCAAAGGGTGAAGAAAGGAAAGGAAAGAGAGTATAGACAGTACAACAGTGATAGCCTGAGAAAGAACTGAGGGATAGAGGGATTAGTAGTTACAGTACAGGTGAAGAACTGGGTTAAAGGGGTCTAAGATACAGAGAAAGATAGAGTGATAAGATTATAAGCAGATAAAGGAATTTCATGGTTCACAAACATGAATGTGGAATATTTTTGAGAGATGCTAAAATCAAGGGTATGACTTGTTAGTAGTTAAGATAAGGTGGAGGAGGTCATGGGAATTGAGCAGATTGGGATGTTAGGGCATTTGAGGGAGTTATCAGTATGTACAGTCAGTTCTGATAAAATACAACATATGCATTCCCAAAAAACACTATGCTATGCAAGATTCCTCAACAAGAACCACAGAGCTTATGAGGAAAATGGTGTTAGAGGTTCAACTTAAAAACTTCATCAGTGACACACAAAAAAAGGTCAGAAACCTAATAAAAAATGGTAGCACAGTTTTATACATGTTAAATGGCTAATACAAAAACACCACAATAAAGAATAGCTACCTCTGCAGACTACCACTAGGCCTGTACCCTGGGCTGCCAAATCAAGCTGGAGACCATGGCACAAGGCAGGGAAAGGAAGTGCAGACCAAACCTTCTTCAATCATGGGTCCTACTGCACCAGAAGATATACCATAAATACGGTAGTTTACCTTGGAAATATAACCTGAAGTGTTCTTATGGAAGTGAGTATTGGAAAGGTCATAGCTTTATGAGTTACTGTGAAGTGGTACAGTGTTCTGAGTTCTCTCACTGTCTCTCGGGGAAGAAATAACAGAAGCAAACTCGAAATTCAAGTTATATATCAAAACGTTCCATTATCAGCTGCAGAGGAACAAAATCACATTTTTAAAACACAAGTTATAACAGAACTGACTGTATGTTAAATCTCCCAATATGGGTGGAAAGAAAGACTGTGAGCCAGGCACTGAACTCATTGAGGAAAGGAAGAGATCTTGAGGGATCTATAGATAATAATTACCAGGAACTGGACTGGGAGATAAATTTGAATAGTGTGAATCCCAAAGCAGCAGAGGCTGCTAAATGATAGTGGTAGAGGACCCAAATGTGGCTATGGAAAGTAAAGAGTACACCCAACTCCTTCACCACAATCAGTGATCAGCAGGGGTGGGGGAGTCCAACCAGCACAGGAAAAGGGTGGCTAAGGATACAATACCATTAGAAGAGTGCCAGAAGACAGAAGTGAGCACAGTGGAAGGGGTAGGCAGATCTGGAAAAGGATACGGGGAGTGGGGGAAAGTAGGTTTGAGAGGGTGATGTGAGTAAGAGAGTGAGCACCTTTAAAGAGAGACAAGCAAGAAGGTTTTTACATTAATAGCTTGGACGTCCAAAATTCAACTAGGAAAGAGAGAGTATGAGAGGGTGGAGTGTGCTAAACATTGAGGAATGAGTACTGCTAGAGTATCTGTGGCTGGAGCAAGATCAGTTAAGGGAGGCAAGTGACTAGATTGTTCCCTTGAGGTACAATATCATGGTAGGGGGTGATACTGTGACCTGGGAGGTCCAGCTCAAGGTAGACAAGAAATGAAGTTTTAAAAAAAAAAAGGAAGGAAAGAAAAAAGATGGCAAACATTTTGAGCCTAAAGAGGTATCATAAATATCACCCACTAAAAATCTTAATTGACATGAAAGAGGAAAGGTAAGGAGTCAGAAACAAGATTTTGCTGATAATTCCTACCACTGTACTTACATGTGTCAAGGGTGTATAATTTTGAAGGTGTGAGTACTTTCTCCTGTGATTTAGATTGCAACTCCTTTACATTTTAGTAGATAGTCTTAAAGACTTGATACTGCTGAAAAAATGCATCACCCTGAAGCCAGTTTGAGGTTGGACCTTTCTGAACTTAACTAGAAATCCGAAAACAGATACACAGTATAGTCTGGGTTGTGCCCAAAGCTTTTGTTGTTTGGTACATAGAACTTGCTAGGGTAATTAAGCTTCATTGACATAATCTTCAAGTACTGAGGAATCATCTTCATGCTATGCTCAATCAATTAATCAATCAGCATTTATTAAGCACCTACCATATGCCAAGTACTTAAGTACTATCCTAGGTGTTGAAGATAAAAGACAAAGGACTGAAAAAATTCCTACCCTGAGAGAGCTTACATTCAATTGGGAGAGAGAAGATGTACATACAAGCATATAAAATACATACAAAGTAATTTTTGGGAGAGAGGAAGAAGGTAGTACTAGAAGATGTGGGGGGAAACCAGAAAAAGCATCATGCAGAAGGTGGCATCTGAGTTGCTCTTTTAAGGAAACTAGGGATTTTAGGATGCAGAGATGAAGAGAGAACATATTCCAGGCATGGGGAACAGTCTCTGCAAAAAAACAAAAAGATGGCTGTTAAGATACATCAAGAAAACCAGAGTGACTAGACCACAGAGTATGTGAAGGAGTTTTTAGAAATGTGTGAGAATCTTGGAAAGGTAAGTTGAAATAAGGACATAAAGGGATTTACATGACAAATGGAAGAGTTTTTTGAGCCTAGAGGTAGCAGAAAATCACTGAAGTTTACTGAGCAGCAGATTAGTATAGTCAGATCTATTCTTTACAGGAAGTCACTTTGGTAGCTGTGTGAAGTATGGATTGGATAAGGGAGATGATTTGAGGTAGCCAGACAATTTTGGGGGCTATTGAACTAAACTGGACAATGAAGGCTTTGAACTAAAGTCATGGTGGTATGAGCTGGGAGAAGAGGGCAAATGGAAGAAACAGTATAGGGAGAAAATCAAGAAAACTTGGCAACTGATCAGATACGTGGGGTAGAAAGGAGAAGGAGTTGAGGCTGACATAGAGGTTGAGAACTTTGGAGTCTGGAAGAATGGTGGTATCCTTGACAGAAATAGAGAGGTTTAGAAGAGGGATAATTTAGGTAGGAAATATGAGTTCAGTTTTGGACACACTGAGTTTCAGATGTCTATAAAACACTCAATTCAAAAAGATTTAACTGACAAATCTAATGTCCTTTTCTCAGTCTGGAACCTTGTTGTCTCTGTAGCATTTAATTGATCACTTCTTCCTCCTAGATACTCTTTTCTCTAAATTTCCATGACACTTCTTTCTCCTGGTTCTCCTGTCTATTCTTCCCTTTTCAGTCTCTTGCTGGTTTTTCACCTAAGTCATGCCCATTAACCAGGAGCATCCCTCAATGCTCTGTTCTGGGTCCTCTTTTCTTTTCCATTTATGTTATCTCACTTGGTGAGCTCATCAGCTTCCATAGTTTCAGTTATCATCTCTATGCAAATGATTAGCAAATTATATATCTGGCACCTGAACTTTCCTTAAGCACAGATCTGACTCCATTCTACTGTTCAACAAACTCCAAAGTAGCTCTCTAGGTTCAAATATGTATTTCTCTTTTTAGCCTTTAAAGCTCTTCACAACCTGGCCCAAATTTGTCATTCCAGTTTCATCATATAGCTCTCCCCATCCTACATACTTTGGCTCAAACTAGTTCTCTCTCTACTCTTCACACAAAGTACTCCATCTCACATCTCTAAGCTTTTGTACTCTGACTGTCCTGAAAGTTTGCAATGAATTCCTTCCTCACTTAGGTCTCACAGAATTACTCTCTTCCTTCAAGACACAGCTGAAGCGCTACCTTCCAAACTAAGCTTGATCCCTGAAAAGCACTAAGGCTCTCCCTCCCTATTTTGTATTAAATTACCTTCTTGTTGTTGTTTTTAATCTGCATATATGTGTCTTCAAACATATGGTTTCCTCCAATAGAATGTAAGCTTTTTGAGAGTACAGACTGTTTCATTCTTTGTAGGGGACTTGACCAACTGTAGGGGTCTTAGTCCAACTCTTCATTTTATAGATAGGGAACCTAAGGCTATGTGAAACTAAAGGTTCAAGGTTTCAAAGATGGTACCAGTGCAAGGATTAGAATATAGGACTCCTGACATCTAGTCCAGTGCTCTTGTCACTATAATACACTGCCCATATGGTCATCATCTTATCTTGAGGCTGTTCTCTTCTCATGTGCCTAACTTACACTGTTTGTAGCTAAATTATGACAAAAAGTAGTACTTTTCTTGGCTCAATTAACACCATGTGCTAAAAGCCTATAATGAGGTCAGTAGCCATCAATTAAATAAACAATTAGGTGGAGAAAAGAACAATTAACAGAGGTATCATGGTTGGGGGTGAGGAGGAGGGAGAAGGAGGCCAGCTGCTAGACAACTACATGTCCCATCATATAGTAGTATAAGCCTTGACATTGCTAAACAAAAATATTTTAATTTTTAGCTATATGTGTTACAATTTCCTTTTTTTAAAAAAATATATAATTATGAACTATATGGCTACCATCTGGCAAACATTTCTAAGAATAAGGAAGTACCCATGTATAATGGGAAAAGTGGTAAAAATTATAAAAAAGGTAAAAGAATTATAACTGATGTATATGTAAAAACACACACACATACACATGCACACACATATTGGGAAGCTTGGCAAACTTGCTATACGTTTTAGTAGTTCCTGCCTGCTGCGGGAGCAACATAGATCTACTCAAATGGACTTAGTCACATTGGATGGGCAAGGATGGGGTTTCACTATCTATATTTTCCAATAAATTTGCCATAGAAGATATATTCAATGTGCCAGTGGAATTCCTTACTCCTGGTATCCTGCTTGATGGAACTGGTATGACGTCATCCGAAAGCAGGAGTGTATCTGGAGTACTTTATCATCCAAAGGGAAGCCCTTCTTCAACTTGAACTCTGAGCTGGATCTCCTGTGACAGTGCAGAACATATACAACCCCCTGATTTACTCTTCACCTGATATTTATGATCAGAAATACTCTTGAAAGAGGTAAGATAATCTCTACAGTTACATTTTTCAAGGAACTTTGAATAATTCTCGTGTGTGACCAGGAGACACTTTATTGCAAGAAAGACTTTGTAAGACGTTTTGTTCTACTGATTCAATTATTTTTCATAATCAACAAATAATAAACACAACATAACCTGGCATTTCCTGTATTTTTCATTCAATTGTGTAATGGTATCTACTCTGCATTACCACTTGCAAAAGCCTGCCTGTTTCCTTCTACTACTGTCATCAGGGAAAGCACCAATGTGTATATAGATCTTATGGAAATTCTTCAGTCAAACTCTAATGCCCTTTTGTAGTATGAAGATAATCCTGGGTTTCTGAAGGGTATGACAGGAAAACACAAATTTTAGCCTTCTGTGCTGGAAAGGCTGAGTAATCTGTAGTGGAGTAATTCTAAATTTGAACTTAGATCAATGTTGCCTGCTTAATTACAGAATTCTGCTCTTCCTTCAAGTTGTAGCTCAAATACCACCTTCTACATAAAGCCATTCTTGTCTTCCCCTGCTGTTAGTTTTCTCCCTCCTAAAGTGCCTTTTAACTTTGTATTTATTTTTATTTTCTCTCTTTACTTTTAGCCCATAGATACTCTCTTTTCAGAGTGCAAATTATTTCGTTCTTTATATTTGTATCCCTAATGCCTAGCACAGTGCTGACAAATAGTAAGTACTTCATGGTTGTTGATTGGCCGAATAGAAACTTACTGAACCTATGTGATATCATAGCCTAATCTGAAAACTACAATCTACCAACAAACATTCATTAAATGATTACTATATACCAGGCACTGTGCTAAGCCAGATACAAAGAAAAAGCAAGCATAAAACCTCAAGGAGCTTATATTCTAATGGACACAAATGTTTTCCTTCCAGAAGAAACTAGAGCTGTCTGTTATTGTTTGGCTTGGTTCATACTTAAAAAACAACGCTTTGTAATTTGCCAACTCTGCAAAACCACAGAGTCAAATCTGTTCCAAGATAATCATGTACAAAGGCCACTTTGCTGTCTCTTAAGTGACCTCCAGATGTATTCCAATAATAGATGAGAACTACATGTTACCTGAACATTAATAACTCTTTCCCTTATTTGCGCGCATGCACAGAGTCACATATTTATCTCCAAAGGAGTGATTTCCCCAGACATATAACTATATTCAATAACTCTGAACAATTTACCTGCTAGGTAGAGTGGAGTCTTTTGCATGCCATGATAATGGTCCTGACAACAAGCTTAGTCTGCTTTCTCAGAACCAGCAATAGGCATGGTCACTTAGTGATGAATTCTTTGGCCATGGCAACTCATAAAACAAAGAAAAATACAAAATGGTCCTCATTCCCTTGAGTTCCCCATCTCTCCTTTCCTTCTACCTCTGCAATGATGATAGCAAAGTGGAAGACAAGGAGCTTCAGGGTGCTAAGACTCTTAAGTTTCAAATCAACTTTAATATAATTGTGGCTGGTATTCAATAGGCCACATGCCAATATTTATTGCAGAGAACGAAGAGGTAGAAAAATTCAACAAATTTCATTATGACTCTCCAAATTAAATCAAAATATACTTTGATACTTGGTGACTTTGAAGCAAAAGTAGGGATAAATGAGTATGGCAAAAAATGTAATACATTTTTTATATGGATCAGAAACAAGAGAAGCCAAAGACTTGTAGACTACACAGAAACATCATGCTGGTAGAATATGAATATTTTGAGAAAGAATTGGCAAGCGCTAGACTTTATGAATGCTGAATAACATTGCAGAAAAAAAAAGAAAGAAAAGATTATATTTTGACAGAGAAAATGAGTTGCTACTGATGTACAAACTATTCCTGAATCAGTGTCTGTGTAGTCAGCCAATGACTTGTTAGAACAAATATCAAAGTTAGTACAAATCTAAAAGAAAGAATAAAAATGAGAAATATGGTGTATGATTGAAATAATTCAATCTTGATTTAAAGAAATTACTGATGATTAAAAATAATAACTATGGATGGAAGAAGATACATAAATACAGACTATAATAATTTCATGAAGATGTTTAACTGATACAAATCAACTGCCACAATGAGACCAAGAACCTACTAAGCACTTGAGCCAGCAAACACCTAATCTGTTAAGAAGAGAAAAATGGCAGCCAAAGTCATTGGTTTAGAATACAAATTAGTTTGTTCAGAAAATCCTAAGGAAAAAGATAATGGAGCAGTATTTCTTCAAAAGATAAAGAGAAATACTGGCAAAATTTATTTAAAGAAAGCTTAAGAAAGAACCCAGCTAAGCAAAGCTGTCATGAGGGCACTTAAGGATGAAAATAAAAAGAGGACAAGAAACAGATAAATTGTAAAAAATATACAAATATTTTTATAACAAATCTCTTACACCATCAAGAGCAATATAGTTGCCACACTTGGGACTTTAACAGGACAGTCCTGGGTACACCTATAGAAATGGTAGAAATGGTACTAAAGAGAACAATGATGGGAAAAGCAGTCAGATTTGATCAAACATAGATTGAGGGGAGCCATATTGGAGATAACAACTATGAGAGCACTGGGGGAGCTATTTATAATTATTAATACCAAAAATGGTAACAAAATATTAACATCTTCTGACTTTCCCACCTATATGAAATATTTACAAGAGAGAAGCATGGATGAATCACTATAAATATACCAGTATTATTGGAAAAAAGTAACTAAAAGTGCATGACCTATTTAGAGTTTTAAGGTAAATCTTTTCCCCTCAACAGGTCAATCAAGTCTTCTATTTCCTCTCCCAAAGATAAGAAGTGTCATTTTTGATACAGAAGGACAGTACGATACAGTACCATTTAAGAAGCATAAGGGATATCATTTAGGAAAGATATAATCAGAAAACAAGATGAACTCTTCATATATTAAGTTAGGAAAACAGAAAGATTGCTGCACTGTAGTGCTATATGCAGGACCCTTTAAAAGACTCTACCTTTGCAACATCTCTTGTATAATCCCCCCTTCTCTTCTCTGACAATGCAACCTCCCTGGTGCAGGTCCACATCACCTTATGCTTGGGTTATTGTTGTTGTTTAGTTGTTTCAGTCATGTCTGACTCTTTGTGACCCCATTTAGGGTTTGTCTGTTGTTGTTTTTTGGCAAAGATACTGGAATGGTTTGCCGTTTTCTTCTCTAGCTCATTTTATAGATGAGGAAACTGAGGCAAAGAGTTAAGTGACTTGCCCAGGGTCACACAACTAGTCAATTTCTGAGACCATATTTGAACTCGGACAAGTGAGTCTCTGACTCCAGGCTTGGCACCCTATCTACTGTGCCACCTAGTTACTCCACTTGGATTATTACAATAGCTCTATGGTTGGTCTCCCTGTTTTAAGTCTCTCTCTGCGAACATTTTTATTTAAAGTTTTGAGTTCCAAATCCTATCCCTCTCTCCTTCCCTTCTCCCCTCCCTGAGATGGTAAGCTATCAGATATAGGTTGTACATGTGTAATTACATAAAATATTTCCATATTAGTCATTTTGAACAAGAAGACTCAAATAAAAGGAAAAAAAGGGAAAGAAAGTAAAAAACAGCATGCTTTAGTCTATTAAAACAGTTATCAATTATTTCTCTGAAGGCAGATAGTATGTTTCATCATTAGTCCTATGGGATTGTCTTGGATCACTGTATTACTGAGAATGGCTAATTCACATTTCTTCTTTGAACAATATTGCTGTTACTGTGTGTTACATTCTCCTGGTTCTCTTCATTTCACTATGCAGCAGTTTATGTAAGTTCAAGTCTCTCTTACAATCAATCAATCTTCTATTCAGTTGTCAAAGTGATCTTTCAAAAGCTCAAGTTTGACCATGTCACCATGCCTTCCTCCCTCCCCCAACTCCTACACCCTTAAACTTCAGTGGCTTCTTATTACTACCAGGATCAAACATGAAATCTTCTGTTTGGTTTTTAAAGCCCTTCAGAATCTAGTTCCTTCATATTCCTACTCTTCTTACAATTCTTATTCTCAACAGACACTATAATTCATCTACATTATCCTTCTTGTTGACTTCACACAATATACCCTCTAGATTCTATGCCTTTTTGCCAGTTGTTTGTCTCCCATGCCTGGAATGTTCTTTCCTAATATCTGCCTCCTGAATTCTCTGGCCTCTTTCAAGACTCAACTAAAATCCTACCTTCTGTGAGAAGCCTTTCCTGAGCCTGTCCCCTGAGATTACCTCCAGCTTAACCTGTATTTTGCCTTTCTTTGTATCTTTAAGCTTGGCATAGTGCCTGGCACATAGTAAGCACTTAGTAAATACTTGATGACTTAACTTGTTGACTAGAGAAAGGCCTCCAACATTTTGGATAGATTCAAAGACAAAAATCTCAGAAGTTGAAAAAACATGGATGGGTTAGGCTGAAGTAAGGACTCATATGATGATATCACCAATCTAGTCAAGTCATAGAGTATGCTTTTTTGCTGATTCCTGCATTTAATATACAACTTTCCTAAACATATTTTATACTTTGCTGCCTTCTTAAACAAAATATACTGATTGATGATTTATTGGCCATCACTCTGAATTTTACTTACTGTATCTACCACTGATTAATACACTGATAGGAGTCAGAATCCATTACATTGAGTAGGATATTCAACTCCACACTAAGTAGTTCCAGACTCTTTGAGTTCTTGTATATATGTTTTTATGGTTTTTCTGACTCACCTATAACTGCTGTTAATGTGTTTACTCTAGTAGCTGACCCTCATTTACTAATTTTTTGTTTGTAATTCACCATGGTTGAGGAAATCACTAAGTCTTGCTTGTTATGACTGCTACTAAAGTAAGAAGGAATAGGTTGAGTAAGGACTTATCACAAAACTTAGCACAGTCTATGGGTAACTGTGCAGATACAATAAGTGAAGAA